TGTATAGGACCATTTGGAGGTTCTCTTGAAGCCTTCGGGGAGGGATGGTGGTGGTCATCGTGTCACCTGCAACCCCTGGATCCTGGCTCGAATGACCCCTTCGGGCTCCAGGAGGAGGAGGAGGAGGAGGAGGAGGAGGAGGAGGAGGAGGAGGGGAGGGGGAGGAGGAGGAGGAGGAGGAGGAGGAGGGGAGGAGGAGGAGGAGGAGGAGGACGGGGGAGGGGGAGAGGAGGAGGAGGGGAGGAGGAGGATCGATATCATCATCATCATCATCATCATCCTCATCATCATCATCATCATCATCATCATCATCATCAGCGTCATCAGCGTCATCAGCGTCATCAGCGTCATCGTCATCGTCATCGTCATCATCTGCAGCATCATCATCATCATCATCCTTCTCCTCCCCCTGAGCTACTTATCCTCCCTCCCTGGGCCCGCCCTCCTCTTCCTCCTCGTGCTCTTGATTTCCGCTCCTCCTCCCCAAGCTATTCCTCCCCCCCTGACCTCCTCCTTCTCCTCCTCCTCCTGCTCTCCTCCTCCTCCTCCTCCTCCTCCTCCTCCTCCTCTCCTCCTCCTCCTCCTCCTCCCCCACACGGGCGTCAAGGCCAGCCGGTGTTCGGCTGCTCCCGCCCACCAGGGGCGGTGGGGGTTGCTCGGTCCTCTCTGCCGCCGGGCGGCCGGGCGGCCCGCGGCGCGAGGCGAGCAACCGGGCCGTGCTCGCCCGGCAGCAGCAGAAGCAGGCCTCGCCGTCGTCGCCGTCGTCAGGGAGGGATGGGATGGGAGGCGGGGGAGGAGGAGGAGGAGGAGGAGGAGGAGGAGGAGGAGGAGGAGGAGGAGGAGGAGGAGGAGGAGGAGGAGGAGGAGGAGGAGGAGGAGGGGGGGAGGAGGAGGAGGAGGAGGGAGAGGAGGAGGAGGAAGGAGGAGAGGAGGACGAGGAGGAGGAGTAAGAAGAAGAAGAAGAAGAAGAGGAGGAGGAGGAGGAGGAGGAGGAGGCGGGGGAGGAGGAGGAGGAGGAGGAGGAGGAGGAGGAGGAGGACTGGAATGCAGGATGCATATCGCCCATGCTTCCATACACCCTCGCGTCCCAGCTCCCCTCCTCGTAAATGAGCCCCGCGTGGCCCATTGGCGTTCCACTTCGCTGAGGGAAACGCCCACTTGAAGAAGAACGGGCGCCGATTGCAATGCCGTTCAGTCGAGAGGCCCGCCTTGGAAATGACTTGCCCTCCGTCCTTCCATCCAGCGTCTTCGGCCCACCCGGCCGCCTTGCTGGGGCCTTCGGCCAGAGGCGTCTCGGATGCCTCTCGGTGTCTCTTGCGATGACTCGCAGGGGCTTCCGAAGACGCTCTCCTCGATGCCGCCCGCGCCTCCCAGACGCGGAAGGCCTGCGACACCCGGAAGAACCTCGCGCATGGCCACGGGATTCGCAGGACGACGACGAGGACACGAGCACAGGACATGTTGAGGGGCCTGTTGGTGGCATCTTTGGGATCCGTGGGGCCCTCTTGGGGGCATCCTGGGGGCATGCTGGCGGTCTCGAGGGCCATATCGGGGGGAAGGAATCGACACACCGGTTCGGCTTCCAGCCCTCTTGAGGTCCTCTGGGGCTGGGCCGTCTAGTGGGCCTCTGTGTCAGTCTTCCAGCCCTCTCGGGCCGTCTTGGAGCCTCTTGGGTATTCAGTCTTTGGGCCGTCTTGCGGGCCTCTTGGGCCGTCTTAAGCGTTCGGACGCCCGCAAAGGCGAGTAAGATACACCTCTTGAAGCACGAGGTCTGCCTTTGGAGGCTCTCTTGGGACCCCTCTTGGAGTCTAATTGATGCGTCTCGGGGGTCTCTTGGGCCGTCTGGACACCATCTTGGAGCCCTCTTGGCCCCCTCTTGGCCCGTCTGGGGGCCGTTTAGGATCTAGGACCGTCTTGGAGCCCCTTTGGGACTCTCTTGAGCATTTTTGGAGGTCTGTAGCCATCTGTAGCTACGCAGGAGACTTGCGCCACTCTGCCGACCCTCGAAAGGTGGATGGGCTAAATCTGGGTCCGCCGCAGTGTTGCAGTGCTCTTCGTGTTCTTTGGGGGGCCTTCAGGGCTGCATCGGAGCGATTATTGGCCCCTCGTGGGGCTTTCTTCGACGATCTTGTAACCACCGTGACGCATCAGAAGCCTCTTGGAAATAGGAAGGCGAAAGAGGCACACGCATGTGATAATCCTGCTGTTTTATCGTGCTGCTTTTTTCCGTGGCGTGTTTTCCTCTCGGGAGTATTCTTGGACGGCTCCGTGGCCACTTGGAGTTGTCCCTGTGCCGTACGGGAGGAGGAGGAGGAGGAGGAGGAGGAGGAGGAGGAGGAGGAGGAGGAGGAGGGAGGAGGAGGAGCTCTTCTGGAGCCGCCTCGGAGCCTCTGGGGGGGGGCCGGGGAGGTGCGCCAGGGAGCCGGGCGCACCTCTCTTCCCCGGCCCTCCCTCGCCTCTGGAGAAGCATTCTGTCAGGAGGGGGAAAAACACACAGACACAATTAATTGTCGATCCCCAGGAGGATATTGGAAAATATGGGAAGTGGGGGGGAAGACGAAAAACCCAGAAAATATGAGAAAACATGGGGAATCCTTTTATTTGTGTGTATTTATTTGTGTGTCTCAGGGCCCCATCATTCTGGACCCCTTGGGAGAGGGACAGGGAGAGGGGGGCAGCCAGTCGTCTCACACGCCTCCTCACTTCCAGTGGGCGTGGGTCGGCGGCTGCCGAGGAATGCCGAGAGCGTTGGGGGGTGCGTGGATCAGAGGGTTCAAGGGCATGTCCAGCAAGAGCCCGCTTTTGAAGTGGAGCCGCCGAGCCGCCCTCCATCGTATTTGTTGCGTACTTTCAGTGCACGTTTTTTACAACCTCTGGCGCGTGGCGGTCGGTACCCGTGCCCCCCTCCCCTAGCGTTACGGGAACGATCGTATGTGCGTGTAAGTATGTGTGTGCAGGTTGTTTGTGCATTCTTGCGTCTGGGATTACAGCTCCTCTAGTCTAGGCCTCCTAGATGGAGTCGGAGTAGATGGGGTCGGAGGATCGCGCCGCATCGCCGATATATCGGCGATGCGGCGCGATGCGGAGCCCGATTTGCTTCCTGTCGACGTCGCCGAAGCGTCGCCGACGTCGGCGATGCATCGCCGATGCTTCTCCAGGTGCATTTGCGATGCATTGGCGATGCATTGGCGATGCGGCGCGATCCTCCGACCCCATCTACTCGGACCCCATCTCGGAGGCCTCTAACGCTTACGTTTGGGATTACAGCCCCTGTAGCACACCACTTATTGCTTGTACCTTTCAGTGTGCGACGTCTCGTACACTGTGCCTTCGACGACGCTCGATCGCAATTCGCACTTCCATCTGCGATCCGCGCTTGGGGACCCTCTGCGCCCCTGGCCTGAAGTGTGAAGGTTGTGGTGTTCGCACGCATCAAGAGAGGAAGAACCACCCAGACCCGACACTTGGCGTCTGCAGAACGGCCATGGGCGTTTGCGAAACAGCCCTGCTCTGTTCGATTCCTTCTCTGGGCGCGTTTGCCAGACGACCTCGCGTGTCGGGGTTATCCTTGCTCTGGGGGTGGATGTTTCGACCTCCGCTGCACGCCGTGGTGCTCGCATGCCACCTGTGGCGATCCTCGCAGACGCTGCGCTGCCCGCGAGGCAGCACGGACCCGCGTGGGTCCGGCGCCCCTCGCCGCCTATAATTAGGGCGGTGGGCAGCGCGGCGTGGTGCTCACGGGCACGCTCCGGCAGGCGGTGGTGACGCGTCGCGGGGGAGGGAGGAGCAGGAGGGCGAGGGCGACGACGAGGGAGGAGGAGGGAGGCAAGGGGCAGCGTAACGCGGAGGAGGAAATTGAGGGAGGATGAGGGGGCAAGAGGAGGAGCACGAGGACGACGAGGAAGGAGAGGATGAGGGAGGACGACGGCGACGAGGAGGAGATGAGAGGAGGAGGAGGGGGACGCTGACGAGTAAGGAGGAACGGCGACGACAAGGACGGCGACGACGACAAGGACGACGGCGTCGACGAGGAATGAGGACCGACGACGAAGGAGGAGGAGGAGGAGGAGGAGGCGGGCGACGGCGAAGCAGGAGGGAGGTGAAGCGGAATTCTTGCGGGGCTCGCAGGCACGTTGTGATGTTCGCAGGCCCACGTGGCACCTGTCAAACAGTGCTTGCACTGAGGGATTCTTATTTTTTCTGAGGAACTGGCCCTGTCCATTGGTATGTCGGCTATGTGGTCGCCGTCGCCGCCCCGCCGCCGCCCCGCCGCCGCCCGTCCTCTGGGCCTGCCTGCCCGTCGGTCTGGCGGCTATGTGGTCACCGTCGCCGCCCCCTCGCTCTGGGCCTGCCCGTCGGTCTGGGGTCTATGTGGTCGCCGTCGCCGCCCCGCCGCCGCCTCGTCGCCGCCCGTCCTCTGGGCGGCGGTGTCGGTCGGGCGGCTACGTCGCCACCCCGTCTCCGCCCCGTCGCCGCCCGTCCCCTGGGCCTAACACGGATTGCGCCACATCGCATATGTTGCGCCACCACCTACAGTGTTCAACACCGATTGCACCGCCTTTCCTGTCACACATCGAGGGCACCGCATGGATGGCTTAACGTCGATTGCACCACGTAGCTTGCAGCACATACACTGTACCACATGGCCTGCACCACGTATTCTTGCACCGCAGAGATTGCACCACATAACTCACACCACATTCGATTGCGCCGCATAGATTGCACGTCATAGCCTACATCAAGTGGCTCACACCACATATCGAATTATCTATATTGGACCACGCAGGCTGCCCCACATAGCTTACACCACATGCTTACACCACATATTTTTGCACCACAAATGTTGCACCATGTGGCGTACATCACATATAATGCGCCACGTAAGGTGCATTGCATAGGTTACAGCACGTAGCTCACGCCACATCTATTGGTTCACATCGAGTGCACCACATACACGGCACCACATAGATTGCGCCGCATAGCTGGCACCACATAGGTTGCATTGCATACATTCTCTTTTCTACAAGAGTAATAGGATCTCCCCCTTCCCCCCGGTATTAATGGCCCGTCTGATCGTAGTTCAATATGCGTACGATTCTGTCCCATCGTCCATCCTAAAGTTGATCTCCTATCATCCCAGGCAGGCTGGTACCCATACCCCCTCATCCTCTGCAGCACATATCATGCGCGCGCACTTGTGTATCACAGATCTTGTTTCCGATTATCCCTTTCAAAACGTGGGCGGAGTGCACACGCCCTCGTCGTCGCGCGCGCAGGTTCCGCAAGGATTTCAAATCAAGTGTCCCGAAAGTATATAAACACACGCCGTTTCCCAACACGAATTCTCGAAAAGAGCTTGCGCCCGCGCTCTTGCGAATTCTTCAGATAATCATCGGTCTTTCAACATTTTCATAACATGCTAGCAAACGGGCCTTTCGCGCGCGCGCATGTCGAAATCGCTCGAACGCCCCTGCGCGCGTGTTGTCGCAGGAATCCCTTGCAGCAAACTGGACGAAGTGCACATGAGCGCGTCGTCGCGCGCGCACGCTGAAGTCCTTCAAACACCTTCGGTTTCGTCAGGATTTCAAAAGCGAATGCCCCGACATCATGTAAAATCATATGGGTTTGCAGTGCCAGTTTTCAAAACAAACAGAGGGACTGTACTCGCGCTTTTGTGACTCTCGCGCGTCGGCGGCGCGCGCATGTCGAACTCCTTCCAAAACCTGCATCACCGATGAGAGAACGCCGTCATCGTCGTCGGCTTGATCAGCATCGGCGCCGTCACTGGCCTTGCCGTCGTCGTTGTCATCGTCGCCAGCATCGCTACTATCATCCTGGCGTCTACCGTTCTCGACGTTGCCATAATACCGCGCCCGCCCAAGTCCCCGTCTCGCACCGAAGTGCCCGATGGGAAGTGCCTGGCGGTCAGTGCCACCGCGGCCGCGTCGGTCGCGCCAAACTAGCTGGCCGCTGCGAGCGCGAGCATATGCGGGCTAGCGCGGCCGCAGGCATGCACCAGCCAACACCCACCAAACACTCATCGTAATCGCCGCCTCATGGGTTTATGCACACCAAGTTGCGGGTGGGTGGTGGGATGATTGCGCGAGCAGTGGTGTTGACAATTCATTACGAACAACCGAAAATAATTGCACCGCATAGATGGCACATACAGCCTGCACCATATCTGTTGCAACACAGCATGCTATAACACACTGTTTGGGGTCCACGCACACATGCAGTTGTGCATATGATGGTGGTCGCAGTCCTGCTGCGGCACTGGCAGGGGCCAGCACTCCTCGCCGTGCAGCGGCCGCACGTAAATTGTTGTGCCCACAGGCACGCTGCGGTGCTCGTGGGCTTTTGTGGTACGCGTGGGCCCACTGTGGTGCACACAGTCCTTGGGCATCGAGCGCGCGTGCGTGCGTGTGTGTGTGTGTGTGTGTGTGTGGTTGTGTGTGTGGTTGTACGTGTGGGAGGCGTGCGGGTGGCAGTGGTGCGCGCAGGCCTCTGTTGTGCCGTTGCGTGTGCTTGTCTGTGTGTGCGTGTGTGTGTGTGTGTTATGTGTGTATGTGCGTGCGTGCGTGCGCGCGCGTGCGTGCGTGCGTGCGTGCGTGCTCTGTGTGTGTGCGTCCGTGATGTTGTGCTTTTTTGGTGTGCGCGTGTGTGCGCGTGCGTCTGCGCCTGCGTTTGTGTGCGCCTGCATGCGTGTACAATCGTAGTCATGAACTTGGTTTCCTCGTCACCCCTACCCCTGCCCAACCAGGCGTCACCGTTACCCGCGCCCCGCCCCCAGGAGTAACGACGGTTGCGCGCGCTAACTAAACACAATCGCTCACGTTTGGATGGTGAACATGCATGCGTGAAGTACCAAGCGAGAGCCGATAACCCTATCAACGTATATGGCACGATTGATTCGCAGAACGGACATAGTACGAACGCTTGTCATCCTTGTAAGCGTTTCGCCACTTCAATCAGAGTGCAATGGCGCCTCGAATAGTTTCCAAGCGAGAGACCACCTGTGGAACAGTAAGAGCCCTCCACGTGGAACAGTGTCGGAGACTTGTTCGTGGCGCTGGGGCGAGAGGTGCCTCTTGAAACAAACACCTCGCCCCTCATGTAACTCTTGGAAGTAAGTGAGGCGAATGAGCGCGGTGCCAAGGCGAGAGCTGCATGTTAAAAACCGCCCACCCTTCATCCGTGCAGTTGACAGATGGATCAAGCTACATGAACAGAAGCGACGTGGAAGTCTCACGCGAAACACCCAGCCCTCGTTATTGGCACGTCTGGTGGTGCGACGAGGAGGTCCTACCTGCGAGGAGATAGGACAGGGGGAGAAGGAGGAGTAGGGGGAGTGGAAGAAGGACGGCGACGAGGACGACCACAAGGAGGGGAGGAGAAGGGGGATGAGGATGAGGATGAGGAGGCGGGCGGAGGAGGAGAAGGAGCAGAGCGAGGAGGAGGAGGAGGAGGACCAGTCAGAGGGGGGGGATTTTGACGGTTGGCCCCCCTTTCCGGGCCTACTCGAGAGCACTCGTCGCTTCGGCCTGACCGCCTCGAGCTGCCGGTCAGAGCGCGCTCCAGAGCACAGTTCTGATCGAGCAGGAGGAGGACGGCCGACGGCGCAGGCCCCATCTCGACCTGATTCGATCCGAATTCATGTCGGATTCGGCTGGCCCTCATCCTCCTCCTTCCGTCCTCCTCCTCCTCCACGTCCTCCTCCTCCTCGTCCTCCTCCTCCTCCTCCTCCTCGTCTTCCTCCTTGTCCTCCTCCCCATCCTCCCCCTCCTCCCCCAGCTCCCCCCTCCTCCCCCTCCTCTCGGCCAGTCGCGGGGATGGCGCCCCCACTGGCTCTGTGGGGGCCGCCCAGAAGGGGGGCCGTCCAAGGTGCAGTGCTCCCCGGGCCTGCCTCGTCTTGAGGCAGGCCCTGGGCTCCTCCCCCTCCTCCTCTCTCCTCCTCCTCCTCCTCCTCCTCCACTCCTCCTCCTCCTCCCCTCCTCCTCCCTCCTCCTCCCCCCCCCCTCCCCCTCCCCCTCCGCCTCCGCCTCGCCCTCCCCCTCCCCCTCCCCTCCCCCCCCTCCTCCTCCTCCTCCTCTCCTCCCGTCCCCTCCTCCTCCCTCCTCCTCCTCCTCCTCTCCCCCTCCTCCTCCTCTCCTCCCCTCCTCCTCCTCCTTCCTCCTCTCTCCTCCTCCTCCTCCTCCTCCTCCCCCTCCTCCTCCTCCTCCTCCTCCTCCGCCTCCTCCTCCTCCCCCCCGATATTACAACGATCCGATCCGTCCTGGCGGTGGCGGTTGCATGGCGCCGTTGTGCATCCTGGCACCGGGCGATCCCATTCGGCTTCGGCTCCATGCCGTGGCGGCCCGATCCGCGGCGCGCGTTTCTATCCGATCCGAGTCCTTGATGCGATGCTGGCTGCTCCTGCAGATTCCAGGGCAGGCGGAGGAAGAGGCGGAAGAGGAAGAGAGGGGACGAGGCGATGCTGATGATGACGACGATGATGCTGATGGTGATGATGAGTCGGATGAGGATGAAGATGAGGATGTTGGTGATGATGCTGATGCTGATGATGATGCTGATGCTGTTGTTGCTGTTGTTGATATTGATGACGATGCTGATGATGATGATGATGATGATGATGATGATGATGGTGGTGATGGTGATGATGCTGATGATGACGATGATGATGATAATGATGATGGTGGTGGTAGTGGCGGTGATGATGATGATGATGATGATGATGAGGATGATGAGGATGATGAGGATGATGATGATGATGATGATGATGATGGTGGTGATGGTGGTGATGATGATGATACTGATGATGGTGGTGGTGGTGATAGGGAGGAGGATGAGGAGGAGGAGGAGGAGGAGGAACAGGCAGACCAGAGTAAGCCCCAGACGACTCAACGATGCTGCAAGACACCCTCTTGTCCCAAGTCTCCCAATAAGACTGCACGTGCCCTCTCCTCACCGCACGATGTGCCCCCCCTGACCTCTCAGAACTCTCTGGGCCTGCCATTCGGGCGAGAGCCCCGTGCTCAAGCTGGACTCCTTTTGTGTGCCTCCTCGCGAGCGACGAGCAGCGCGAAAAAAGGCCACACAGGTCCGCGGGATGTCCAGCGAGACGCCCGTTTTGAAAACGGACCGCCCCCCCCCAACTCCCCCTCCTCCTCCTCCTCCTCCTCCTCCTCCTCCTCGCTTGCACGTCTGGTCATGAGCTTCGGGGACGTCTCGAGCGAGAGCCCCACTTTGACAAGGAGCCACCCTCCGCCGCTGGCACGAGTGTTGAACAGCTTCGGGTCTCGGGCGGGCGCCCCATGTTGTCTGAGGAGGAGCCGCCCTCCATCCGTGTAGCGGCTGCAGGCCTGCAGGACGAATGTGCGCGGCGCTACGACGAGATCCCCGTTTTGAAAGCGACCCCCTCCGCCAGTGTGAGTGTTGCAGGTTTCCAGCGTCGGAGTCACACGTGGTGGGGAGCTGTCCGGCGAGACGCTCGGTCCGCCCTGCCGACACGTCCGGGGTTGCGCCAGGGAGGACTTATTCATAAGGAGAATGGATGGAGGAGGGGGAGGAGGGGGAGGAGAGGGATGAGGAGAATGAGGAGGAGGAGGAGGAGGAGGAGGAGGAGGAGGAGGAAGATGAGGGGGAGGAGAAGGAGGAGGAGGAGGAGATACAATGCGACGGCTCCATAGCTTCTGGTGGCGCAGCGGAGAAAGGAGGAGCCACGAGAGGGAGAACGACGAGGAGGAAGAGGAGGGAGAGAAGGGGGGGGAGAGGTAGGAGGGAGGAGCGAGGAGGAGCGAGGAGCGAGGAGGAGGAGGAGCAGGAGGAGCGAGGGGCGAGGAGCGAGGAGGAGGAGGAGCGAGGAGCGAGGAGAGAGGAGGAGCGAGGAGCGAGGAGCGAGGAGCGAGGAGCGAGGAGCGAGGAGGAGGAGCAGAAGGAGGAGGAGGAGGAGGAGGAGGAGGAGGAGGAGGAGGAGGGAGGAGCGACGACGCCGACGACGGCAGCGCCTGCGGCGCCCCGTCGCCGCCCTCGAGGTCGACCAGCGGGAGCAGCGCATCCAGGTGCGCGAGGAGGCTCGGGCGCGGCGCGCCCGCGAGACGCAGTTCCTCACCACCGTGCGCGGCATGGCGAAGGACCTCGCGGGCTCGCCGCCGTCGTCGGCGCTCCGCCCTCGCGGCTGCTCTCTCCTCGCCCTCCTGTTGCCCGTCCCCTCCTCTGCGCTCCTCCTCTGTGCTCCTCCTCCTTGTTGCTCCTCGCCAGTCCTCCTTCGCCTCGCTCCTCCTCCTCCTCCTCCTCTTGCGTCTCTGTCTTTTTTTTTTTCTCTCTCTCTCTCTCTTTCTCTCTCCCGCCTCCTCCTCCTTCGTTTCTTCCTTTCTCTTCTCCCATCTCATCCTTCTTGCTCCTCGTTCCCCCTCCTCTTGCTTCTCGTCCCTCCTCCTCCTCCTCCTCCGTTCCCCCCCCCTCCCGTCTGCACATCGTGCCCCCATTCCCCGACGACGATAACGGATGGCCGACGACGACGCTGACGACGAAGACGACGAAGATGACGACGAAGACCACGATGACGAGGACGACGACGACCACGACCACGACCACGACCACAACCACGACCACGACGGCGACGACGACAACGACGACACCGACGACTACGACCACGACCACGACGGCCACGACCACGACCACGACGACGACGATTACGACGACGGCGACGGCGACGACGACGACGATGGACGACGACGACGACGACGACGACGACGACCACGACGACGATCGACGACGAGCACGACCACGACCGTAACCACGACCACGACGACCACGACGATGACGACGACGACGACAACGACGACGACGGCGACGACGACGATGACGACGACGACGAAACCGACGACTACGACCACGACCACGACCACGACCACGACCACGACCACGACGGCGACGACGACGACGACACCGACGACGGCGAACACGACCACGACCAGGACGACCACGACGACCACGACGACGACGACGACGACGACGGCGACGCCGACGATGGCGAGGACGACGGCGAGGACGACGATCGACGACGAGCACGACCACGACCATGACCACGACGACAACTACGGCCACGACGACGACCACGACCACGTACGACGACCGAGGACAGCCGAGGACAGCCGACGACGGCCGACGACCCACCGACTGACGACCGACGCCCGAAGCCCCACGGCCGACGGCCGAGGACGGCGGCGCCCTGGAGGACGCGCCGGCGAGCCCGAAGCCCGCGCTGGCCGCGCTCGGCGACTCGGCGGGGCCCCTGGCCAGCAGGCACGCCTCGCGCGGCGGCCTCCGGGCGGCCTTCGGCGGCGTCGCCGCCGTCGCCGGTCGCCAGTCGCCGGTCGCCGGTCGCTGGTCGTCGGTCGTCGGTCGTCGGCGTCGTCGTCGTCGTCGACGTCGTAGTCGTCGTCGTCGTAGTCGTCGTCGTCGTCGTCGTCGGCCATCGCCGTCATCGTCGACCGTTGTCCGTTGTCGTCGTGGTCCGTCGTAGATCGTTGATCATCTGTCGTTTGTCGTCGGTTGGTCGGTGGGTCGGTCGTCTTCGGTCGTCCGTCGTCGTTGTTGTCAGTCGTTGTTGTCGGTCGTCGTTGTCGTCGGTCGTTCGTCGGTCGTTGGTCGTCGTCGTCGTCGTCGTCGATCGTCGGTCGTCGATCGGTCGGTAGGTCGTCTGTCATCTTTCGTCAGCCGTCGTTGTCGGCCGTCGTATGTGGTCGTCGCCGTCGATCGTCGATCCTCGGTCGTCGGTCGTCGGTTGTCGGTCGGTTGTCGGTCGGTCGGTCGGTCGGTCGGTCGGTCGGTCGGTCGTCGTCGTCGTCGTCGTCGTCGTCGTCTTCGTCGTCGTCGGTGTGGTCGTCAGTCGTCCTCGGTCGTCCTCGTCGTCGTCGTCGTGTCATCGCTGTTGTTGTCGGTCCTCGGTGGCCATCCGCGCCCACTCCGACGAGCGGCTCTTTGCGGCGCTCGGCGACCCTGCCTCGTCGATTCCCGAGGATCGAGTATCGAGGTTTCTGGGCACTTCTGACCTCGGCTGTTCGAGCGAGACGAAGGAGGAGGAGGAGCAGCAGGAGCAGCAGGAGGAGGAGGAGGAGGAGGAGAATAAGGAGGAGGAGGAGGCGGAGGAGCAGGAGAAGAAGGAGGCGGAGCAGGAGGCGGAGGAGGAGGCGGAGGAGGAGGCGGAGGAGGAGGAGGAGGAGGAGGAGGAGGAGAAGGAGGAGGAGGAGGAGGAGGAGGAGGAGGGGGAATTCCTCCGGAGGCGGGCGAGCGGCGAGAGGAGAGAGGGGCCGCGCGCACGACGCCGGCGGCGACCTCGCCGCGGTGGTCTGCGCAGGCCGCCGGCGCGGCACACACTTCCGACCGGGGGCGGCAGAGATCGAGCAGTGGCGCAGCGTCCCGGCGTTCCTATAGCCCTACCAAACAATGTTCGAAGAACCTTTTGCCGCAGGCCTAGAGGTTGACACCAACACCGAGATCGGCGGTGTGCCTCCACCGAGGGAGGACGATCCCGATCTCGGTGATGGTGGTAACATTCTGGCTTCAAGGTGACCGAAATATTGCCACCAACACCGAAATCTAAGGCCATCTTCCCCATGTGGAGGCGAACGCCCTGTGCTGGTGTTGGTGCCAATTTCCAGGCCTCCAATTTTGTGGTTAACACGAAATGTTCTTAGAACATTTCTGGCTGGGATTGTCTTGGTTGAGCACATCGGGTTCATGCTCTAGGAACATTGCTTTTGTTCTTCGAACATTTTTTGGTTCTAAGAACATTTCGTGGTAGGACTATAGGAATGCCGGGACGGTCGGTCCCTGCTCAATAGGGGGGGGGGGATTTCACGGCGTGGGCCATGATTGTTCCTCATATTTCATGGCGCCTCTTCTTATCTCATCACGTCCCCGGCCCCCCCTACTTGGGCTGCTCACATGCCCTTGGGCACACACTTCTGACTGGGGGCGGCAGAGAGGGAGGTGACTAGGGGGGGGGGGATTTCATGGCGTGGGCCTCGATTGCTCCTCAGATTTCATGGCGCCTCTCCTTATCTCATTACGTCCCTGGCCCCCCCCCTGGGCCGCGCACGTGCCGCCGGCCATGATTTGCTCCCCCCCCCTCTTGGACACCCCCCTCTTGGTCGCCCCCGATTATGACCTCGGTTGTTCTGACCTGTGTTGCTTCGAGCGATCCCCACCGAACCCTTTGGCATTTCTCCCCAACGGTGCGCGCGCGCGCGTACTGAAGCGATGTGTGCAAAGACGCGTCAGGGGAAGCGGACGGAGCAAATGGTGGCGGAGTGCATGAGCAAATGTTGTCTGCTCTGAAAGATGCAACGGTTCCACTAGATTGCAATCTTTTGTGCTATGGTCACGCCCCTCCGCTATGTTCTCTTCTATCTTGGTCTCGCCGGTTGGCCTCCGCCGCTGGAGGGCAGGCCGCCGCCTCGCGTCCGCCAGCCTCCGCCGGGCCCGATAGCCCACCCCGCCCAGGAGCGTGCGGAGTTGCGATCGGAGGCCTGTCGCCGATCTATCGGCGATGTATCGCCGATGCTATGCTTATGTTTTCGGGAGCCTTGAGACGGGGGTCAATGCAAACGGGGGTGAGCCAGAGCGCCGGATCTTGGAGGATCCTGCAGGGCCAGGGTCGCATTGACCCGGGTCTGGGTGCAGGATCCTGCGGGATTTTGCAGGATCCTTCGCATTGGCCCGGGTTTGGGCGCAGGATCTTGCAGGATGTTGCAGGATTCTGCAAGGCCTGGCTGACCCGGGCCTGGATTGACCCGGGTCAGGAGATCCCCGATGTTTGCCCTCCCGAGCCTGTCCCCCCATTGCCGTGGCCACTCCTCCTCAGCCTCTCCGGGTTCCCCCCCTCTTGGCCCGCAGGGCCCTCCTGAGCCCGGAGAGCCCGCTGGCGAAGTCCATGACGCGGGACGGGCCCGGGCCTCAGAGGAGGAGAGGAGGACGAACGAGGAGGAGGAGGAGGAGGAGGAGGAGGAGGAGGAGGAGGAACGAGGACGAGGACGAGGACGAGGACGAGGACGAGGACGAGGACGAGGACGAGGACGAGGAGGAGGAGGAGGAGGAGGAGGAGGAGGAGGAGGAGGAGGAGAGAGGAGGAGACAGGAGGAGAGAGGAGAGAGGAGAGGAGAGACGAGGACGAGGAGGAGGAGGAGGAGGAGGAGGAGGAGGAGGAGAGGAGAGACGAGGGGGAGGAGGAGGACGAGCGATCGAACGAGTCTGCCGCCGCTGTGGGGCGTCCCTGCACGGGCGGCAGGCGCGGCCAACGCGCTGGCCTCCGGGAAGGCCGGGCTTCTGCTCGGATGTGAAGACCATCGAAATGCATCAAGCGCCGCATGTGTTTAACGCACTCGTATTTGGTTCCTGTACAAGGCGTTCCTTTGCAAGCACATCGTCTTCGGCACCGCCTGATTCCGGGGCTTTGCGCCCTCCTGACCTTGACGTGAGGCCCCTCCTTCTGCCTTCCCCCCTCTGTCAATTAAAGCTGTGCGCGGCCCGCTCAGCTTCGACCGGAAGAGGTGCGCTCTCGACCCGCGGATCAAAAACATTGACGTACTTGTTTTCGGAAGTATGCCTTGTTTAAACTGCTTGGCCATCTCGCACCACGATTCCCAACCGTTGTCTGTGGCAAGAGCAGCTGTGTCGTCCTCCCAGGAGGAGGAGGCGGCGGAGGAGGAGGATAAGGAGTAGGAGGAGGACCGGCTTAAACCCAAGATTAATCAACGATATTGCAATAAGCCCTCTCACTTTTCTCTCCATAGGCCCCTACGATGATTGATTTTCATCGAAGGAAGTACCCCATTCCGAAGACAATCGTTTGAACATCCTGAAGTGTGCCAGAAAAACATTCTTGGGACTTCAATTTCAACGCCGCGAATCACCGTTACTGTTGCGTCTGGACGATCCTGAATCGTGCCAGAACACCATTCCTGAGACCTCAGCACCGCGATTCAAAGTAACTGTTGTGCACTGACAGTCCGACAGCATGCCAAAACACCTTTTTGGGGACGATAGCTATGATAATATTCGACACTGTTGTACCCTCCAAACGAATGTGCGCGGCGCCAAGGCGAGAGCCACTTTTTGAACAGGCGCCGCCCTCCATCCCTGAAGCTCTTGCAAACTAGTCAGGCGAACGTGCACGGCGCTGAGGCGAGAGCCACATGGTGAAAGCGGATTGCCCTCCATCCGTGAAGCTCTACCGTTTGTTACTCAATGTGTGCGCCGCTAAGGCGATGACCACATTTTGGAAACGACCGCCCTTCATCCGTGAAACCCTACCAGTGATTCAAGATGAATGCGCGCGCCGCCGAGGCGAGAGCCACAGTATGAAAACGACCAACCCTCCGTCCGTGGAGCTCCTGCATATTCCCAGCTCAAGGATTGTGATTTCTTGACGCTTCGCGTATCCCCACCCGTCAGACTGCACGTGCCCGAGCTTCCCAGGATGCCCCCAACCGTCAGCTTCCCGCACAGCCCCGCGGCTGCTTGGTGAGTGGGCCGGCCGGCAAACGGCGCGTAGCTAATCAGCCTTGTTCGCTGCCCCGGACATTTGCTTTCGCCGCGTGTGCTCTTCGCTCGCGGCCGCGACCAAAAAAAAAATATCCCCACCCGTCAGTCAGCAACCCCAGGCAGTCAGCAGCGCGTTTGCAACTCGATGCACGGTCGCAGCCCCTGGCAGCCTGCAGCCCACTGCCCCCCCCCCCCCCTCCTCGGCCCCTTCCCAGTCTCGGCCTGAGTTGCGGCGGTTGGCTTGTTTGCGCTAGGTAATTTAGGACCTCGCGCGGCCCGCTCGGACCTTGACACGCCGTCGGCTTGTTCGCTTGCGGCTGGTAGCAAACAAATATCCCCACCCGTGCCTTCCGCCACCACCACCACCCTGCCTCCAGTGCCTCGTGTCTAGCAGTACGTTTCAAACGTCCAACAGTGCGACCCTGGGCTGCACCACGGTCACGACCAGCACGGGCTCGCGCATTGAGTCGAATGGCCACTCCCACAACGACATTGAGCAACACCGTGCGCGTGGTCGCGACGAGCAGCGCAGCGCCGAGCTGCACGACTACGTGTGCGACGCGGTCTAGCAGCACCACGCCGGCCAGCACCGCGGTGAGCTGCTGCATGGCGCTGGCGGATACGACAAGGGCATCAATACCACGCTGCCATGGACGAGGTCTTTGGCGGCCAGTACGCGCGGCTCCAAGAGCACGACGGCCTGCTCGGGCGTGACCAGCCGCACAGATGATTGTCCGCCACCGCGACTTCTGGTGCACCCTCGCCGCAGGATGTCGCAGACGGTCAGCAGTGCGCCCTCGAACAGCACGGCCAGGGACAGTACGGCTCGAGCAACGCAACACCCACAGCCACCTCCTCGGTGAGATCCACGACAACAAAAATCAACAGCGTCGGCAGGCCTCAGGTCTCTGGCAAAACCATTTCCTACCATCACGCGGCTGTCAGCCGCACCCCAGCAGAGCCTCGGCAAGTCTCAGGCGAAACCTTTCCCTACCTTCCCGCGGCTGTTAGCCGCACCCCAGGTGTGCGTCGGCAGGTCTCAGGCGAAACCATTTCCCACCATCCCGCGGCTGTCAGCCGCACCCCAGCTGAACATCTCCACCCGGGGGGAACGATACTACTGGTCGGACCGAGGATCAGCTGCTCCCCCCCCCAGTCGAACAGGCACCCGATTCCGATCGGCCTCGGGCTCCTGTGGCCTGATCTGCCCCCACGACCGCTCCACGCCGCTGCGGCTCTCTGCTGCATTGGGGTGGAACGAGAAGTGGGCCCAGGCCCGTACGAGGAAGATCGGGCTCAAAGATCGGACCCTGATGATTTCACCTTTCCCGCGGCTGTTAGCCGCACCCCTGGTGAGCCTAGATCAGATCGCCCCCCCATCACCGTTGCCCTCGACCACACAGGCGAGACCTTTTCCAGTCACCCCGCGGCTGTTAGCCGCACCCCAACAGAGCATCAGCATGTCTCAGGCGAAGCCATTTCCCACCATTTCGCGGCTGTTTGCCGCACCCCAGCAGAACATCGGCAGGTCTCAGGCGAAATCTTCTCCCACCATCCCGCGGCTGTTGGCCGCACCCCCGCCGACCAGACAGGCGAGACCCTTTTCCTACCATTCCGCGGCACTCAGCCGCACCCCTACAGAGCATCAGCATGTCTCTGGCGAAACCATTTTCCACCATCCCGCGGCTGTCAGCCGCGCCCCAGCTGGGCACCAGCATGTCTCAGGCTGAACCATCTCCGAACATCCCGCGGCCGTTAGCCGCACCCCAACAGAGCATCGTCAAGTCTCAGGGCTGGTTTCAGGCGACCCCGTCTCCTCCCATTCCCCGGCTGCAAGCCGCACCCCCGCCGGGCCTCTGCAAGTCTCAGGCGAAACCTTTTCCTTCCACCCGCGGCTGTTAGCCGCACCCCAGGTGTGCGTCGGCTGGTCTCAGGCGAAACCTTTTCCTACCATCCCGCGGCTGTCAGCCGCACCCCAGCTGAGTATTCTCCACCATTCAGCCGCGGTTGTTAGCCGCCCCCCTCTGCTGGGCACCTCAGGCTCTCCGTGCTCCCCCCGGGGCACGCGGGCCCGTAGGTCCCCTATTCGCCTGTGGTTCCGCGACGGCCTTGGAGGACGGCCAGATGGACAGCTCGGCACTTCGGTGCGGCCCGCGGCTGGCGCCTCCATGCACTTTCCGGGCACGTTCTCCGCTGACGCGGGCCTCCATTTGGGTCTTCTTCCCGCTGGTGCATGTTCGCGGTGTTCGACGCTCGTTTCTGACAGGTTCCTGCCCTTCGGCGTCTGGCTGCTGATGACGGTAGACCACACGGTACCTGGAGGATGACGTGTTGACGTTCATCGACCCGGCCCTCCGCCTCTGAGCGGCGCTGCGTGAGTTTCTTTTTCTCCCTCCTTTCGCCTTCCTCGCTTTCGTCTTCTCGTCTTTCCGTCGGCTCTTCGTTCCCTCCCGCGTCGCTCGCGGTGCCGTGGTGCGTCGCCTCCCCGTTTCGTCACTCTAGCGCAGCCTCTGCGCAGTGGCCCCGTCCTTTTTCCGCGTCTCGCCGGCGACAGTTGTGCTGTGCTCTTGCACTGTCTTGCGCTCTTTTCACGACTTCACGACGCCGCGCGGGTGCCCGCTCGCGGTCGTGCTCAGAAAAGTATCCCCACCCGTGGTAATAGGCCACCGCTAGTTTGCAATTTCTTGGGCGGTGCGCGGCAGTTCCGTTGGCGCTCGCGAACAAAAATTATCCCCACCCGCCCATGCAGGACCGACGCCCAGGCGAGTTGAGACGATCAGAGACGTGTACGAGCAAAGAGGGAGACAGCTGTTACCGTTCGAAGGAGGATGACGAGGAGGAGGAAGAGGAGGAGGAGGAGGAAGAGGAGGAGGAGGAGGGATGTTGAAGGAGAGAGAAGGCTGATGAATTTGCGGATGAAAAAGGAGCTGGAGGAGGAGAAGGAGGAGGAGGAAGAGGAGGAAGAGGTGGAGGAGGGAGGAGGAGGAGGAGGCGAGCGAGCATAATGATTAGACGTTTCTTGGATGCCTCTCGGCGTTTCCCAGCATATCTCTTGAGCGTTTGTATGCTCCTTGGACAGTATTGGGAATGTTGTGGCGGTTCCGAGAAGCTCCTGGGGCGTCTTGGATGCATATTGGAACCTTGCTGGGGCATCTTGGGGGAGCTTTTTGTTGGGCCCAGGAGCGTCTTTGAGCGTCTTTCGTGGGTGCCTCTGGGATCCTCTTGGGGCCTCTTAAGGGTTTCTGGGGGGCCTCTTGGAGGCGTTTTGGGCGCCTTTTGGGGCCGTCTGGGCGCCTCTTGGTGCCGTTTTGGGGCTCTCTCGGGAGCCTTGGGGCTTCTTGGGGCCATTTTGGAAGAGACCGATCAAAGAAGGGGGGGTCCTGAATTCAGGTCCCCCCTCGGGC